GAATCTGCGATTCGTAACAGTTCCGAATAAAAATGATCCTTTTTTTTAAATTAAAATAACTAATTTTTACGAATGAAAAAAACCGGTTTTTTGGAATAAAAGTAACCGTTTTTTTTTGGAATAAAAATGATCCTTTTTTTCGAATGAAACTGATTTTCTGTTAAATGTCAATAATTATTTTCTTTCGAATGAAAATAATCGTTTTTCGTCGAATGAATACAATCGTTTTCTTGTCGAATAAAAATAATTGTTTTTTTTTTTTTTGGAACGAACATGATCGTTTTTTTTTTTTCGAACGAAAATGATCTTTTTTCGACAGTTGAGTCAGCTGAGGCTCCCACGAGGGGACCCTAAAATTTCGTTCGGAGGTCTCGCTTATCGACTGGGAACGCGTAAAATGGTAGATAGAGTACGTGCGTGGTATTTTTATCAGGCTGTAAACGCTTCGCTAATACGAAAATCGTCCCCCGTAATGGGACAAGGCCGAGTCTCTCCCCTGGTTTCAGCCTTGACCAGGAGATGAGACACGAAAATTGAATCCTCGCGGAATCCAATCTCGAAACACCTCGGTGAATAAATATTCGTCCTCGTAAACCGTAACTGTGACTGTTTTTTTTTTTTTTCACGACCACGATCATAGGAACAATTTTTATTTCTCGAACGATCTTGATCGACGGTGAAACATGAAGTCGCGAGAATATATCTCTTTTACGAGTCATCTTTTCCATTCCACGATGAGGAACAATTCTTCAAGGTCGATTTTTATTTCTTCCTCTGCACGCGTATATATGCAAGACCTTCGAACGATCCCTTATACGACCGTCGTAGATTCTACTTTGAGCGCTCTCCGTATCGATCTCGACGAATATTTTCTCGTTTAAAAGGATACGCATCCACCGAACCGAGTTCAGAGTCTGCATTTCAGAAATTAAATTCGTGGTCTGGAAATATAATTAACATATGTCAATGACCACTAAAATAGAATTAATTCAACGAAGAAATTGATTTTCCAAATTTTTCCTCTCCATACGTGTGTCTACTCATACTAGCTGTTCCACACAATTCACACAATTTCACTAAAGTTTCCATCTCAATTCATTGTAAACTGTTTATAATTAATTTTCTGCTATTTTGCTTTTCTGTCAAAACACAAAGGTCACCCTGAATCTTGTTACCGTAATATGTAAAATTTGAACCTGCAATTGGATGAGTGTCGAACACTGAGTAAAAAAACTATAGGGTATATGGGTCCAAAAACAAATTAATGACGATGAATGAAGTAATAATTATTGAAGGAGTACGTTCATAGGTATTAACCTAAAATACAATAAAGATCACATACATAAAAACTCGTTACACTGTTCGTCGTTGGATAAGGTCACGATCGGATCGATCGATGAATTATCGGTAGAACGGGGGCTGAAACCCAGTTTGGAACGTTTCGAATTCAATAATCTTTTGATTACAGACGGTCCGTGTGTTCCATTGAAAACGTTGTTCGACCGAGAGAAGGGCCGATTCGAGTGCAAACACGCGCGCATCTATTCGACGTTCGTTGAATAACATTCGTACTGGCCGGCGATTCGACCATGGGGTGGTGCCAGGGAAACCTTAGGCCGGTTCCCAGAGCAACGACGACGAATGACATTTAACCGGTTCTGTGGATGCTCGACGGATGCCACCTCTCTCTCCCTCGAAGCGTAAACATGTCCCCTAACTGGGTTAATGCAGATCTGTATTAACCCCCTCGCGGGCATCGGGACGCGTTGAATAACATTTGAATGCATTATGATCGGATAACGATGACACCGGTGTCGAACAACGCGAATTACGCCTCTGGGAGACGGTACAGACCTGTGTTTCCCTGTTTAGAGCTATTGTTCTGCGCTGTTTATGCTGTCAAATTCGTGTCGCTAAAGGCTTCGTCACGAAAAAATGGAGAATCTTGAGAGGTTCGATTATAACAGTGAAAAAAGTCGTACGTAGTCAGACATGCTTTAATTCCTTTTTAAAATTATAAATCGTGAAAAGTACTGCCTGTCAAACGTACTAGAGTTGATGGATGGGTTCGTATACAAATAATTTCCAGTCAGTTTTGATGTGTATTGTAGTGTACAGACCAATAAAGTCTCAGAGGTTTCTCAGTCACAATATCCAAGAAGTTCATATATCGTTTTCCTCCATCGTCAAGAATATACATATATTTTCCCCAATCCACCAGCCATCCACCTCCAGAGTTCTCGGACCCGAGAAACGAATTCCACGGGCAATTTACAACTGCAATTTTCCAGCAACAATATCATACCAATATTTATCCCGGTGGATTAAGCGAGTAAAGCTCCACCGCCGTCTAGGGTGGATTGGAGGAGGTCTGCGGTCGGCTAACGAAATTGGAAAGTTCGCTTTCTACACGGAGTACCCGTTCTATCGATAATCTTTGCAAGCCCTGGTCTGAGCGTCGCTCCTCCTCCAAAGTGATTTGGCTGCTCACCGGCAGCCTGGGCAACCTCGTGCTCGGCTTACGGCGGAGTGTCAATCTGTTACGCTCTTGTATGTTCATGTTATACAGGGTGTCCCAGTATTAATGGTACAACCCAGGAGGGGGTGATTCTATATGAGAAAATGAGTCGAAAATATGGAATAAATTTTGTTCATTTCAGGCTTCGTTTTCGAGAAAATCGACTTTGAAAATCAATCTGAAACTTAAGTAGAAACGGAATGTAATGAACAGACGTGGCTACCCAAGTCCTATCCGATAACTGCGCGCGTATTGTAGATTTTCAAACACGGTTATTTCGAAAACAAAGCCTCGAATGAAAAAAATGTATTCCATATTTTCGACTTATTTACCCATGTAGAATCACTCTCTACCCTTGCTGCAAGAGATTTCGAGTACAAAGCCTCAAATGAAAAAAATGTATTCCATATTTTCGACTTATTTTCTCATGTAGAATCACTTCTTTCCGGTTTTACCATCGATACTGGGACACCCTGTATATGGTCGTGTATGTGTGTGGACACACGAATGGACTCTTGATATCGATCGATGGGGTATAGATACAGTTGCTCGCCGCGAACTCTCCGTACACACTTTGAGTCAGCGGGGGTAATCGTCGCGACGTGGCTTCAAGTCTAAGGTCAGAGAGCTATTTCAGGAGGACTTTGTCGTCGAACGGGGTATCGAACACGATGGCGGTGGGATACTACCGAGAATCCAGAGTCGAGAGATTTGAATTTTTAATCAGAATCATGATACTTTCAACCGAGTCGTGTCCGTGGTATAACTTTGTTGGTGGAACGTTGCCTACTTTTGGCTTCTTCGATCCGGTATATCGACTCTGCTATGTTGCTGACGAATTTAACGGTCCGGTGGCTTGGTTCTTGAAGTCTAGCGCATCTGTTAAATTTCGTCCACTGTTCTGGTTAACTTGACCTGAAGATAATTATATTTTCTTTTTCTCCGGAAATTTGTACATTAATTTGACAGCGTTAGATGTATCAGAATTTAGCGACAGAGAAATATATTTCCTTAATTCGATTTTAAGCCTCAGAGGACGGGCAGGGTTTTTCAGGATTTTTTATATTTTCTAGATAGTGTTAACTTTTATACCACGAAAAATAACAATTTTATACGGATAAACTCTACAGGTTAATTTGGGCCTAATTTAATTCAAGGAACAGTTGTATTGTGATTTATCGAATAGTACACGTGGGTTAAAAACGATCTGAATAAACTTACGCTATACTAATAGTAAATAAATTTTACCCTGTTCATTTCGTGATAAAAATGATCATCGAAGCTTTGTACTTTTTTCCGAGTCAGACCAGCCTGGTAATCGAGCGACGACCTCGCTGCTGCAAGGGCTTTTGGCAAATTAGACGTTTGAATTTGAATTTCAAATCGATCCTGCACGTGCTCGCCGAATCAATTTGGCGAGCCATCTGGCCCCGACAACACGGAACCACGTCGACCAGCGCGTTCCAATCGGGGCCCTCGTTGCATCCGTCGCCACTTATAAACACTTTGTGACTGACGATGCATAAATGCCTGGTGGATCTCTGTTTTACGTTGAATTTTCTTGCCTCTCAGACTTATCCAGAGATGATAATAATAATAATAACAACAACAATAATAATAATTGATTAACGGGATAAATACCCTTTTGTACAGAGTTATAACAACAGGTGAAGGACGTACATAAAAATGTAAATAAATGATATAGTTAAATTAATTATTGACGATGCGAAGTAACGACTTCTTTAATGCTGGCGGAGAGATTAGAAGTTTACGCCGGGGTTAACCTTTTCATTATCAGCCTGGTCGTTGGCGAATGAAGTTCCGTGGGCTCTGGGAAAGTTTGTAGTTGCGAGAGGTCGAAAGGGAGAGACACACTCTTGCCAAGAAGTCGAGCGGAATATTACGACAAAGAGGGGGAGATGGGATTAACGTGTATTTCGAGCACGCGGCGTTGGTTCGTTTAGCGGTGCAAAGTTCGACGGAGTCAGCGGTGTTTCAGTCGTGGAAATTGTGTCCACAAAAGTGGTTTTTTATGAATCCAGCTGAACTACATTCAAGGAACACCACTGACAGGTTTCAGACAGAAGTCGTCGGTATTGTAAATTGTCTTTTTATTGCAGAAAAAAATATTTTTTCTTTCATTAAAAGAACATTGAAAATAAGAATAATTTTGAATAATAAGAATAAATAGACCAACATTAAATTATAGTTAAAATTCGTTGTCTGAATTAACAAAAAACCCCCGACCAATCTGAGCTGAGCAGGCAGACTCGCGATTGGTCGGGGTTATTCGTTAATATCCCGTTAACAAAGTCTCGGAGAACTTTTTCGCCAAGGAAAAAATTGTTTCAAATCACCCCAGGAACCAGCCCTTTCAAGGACTTGCACCTATTTTGGGACACCCTGCATATGTACAGATACATACATTTTTTTTTTTATAATTTAAATTTGAATTAACAACACTGAATGTTTTCTGTTGCAGAAAGGTGATCAATCTGTCGATAATCGAGGAGGATTCGTACGAGAAGGATGCGCTCTTCTATGTCGAACTCGGTGAACCGCAGCTGCAAGGAGGTGAGCACTGAGCTTTCTAATTCGCGTAATCCGCTTCAGAAACTATCGACTTTTTTTCTCTCATTCACCTGACACGCAGAGGGAGAGAGTTCGTACGAAAAACTTCTTTTTACGGTCGAATCGAAAACGGATACGAAAGACTTCACGCAGATTTCCACTCTGCCCGTAATCTCTCCCTGCCAATAAAATATAGAAGCCAGAACGAAGGAAAAGAAATTAAAAAAACACAAGGAAAATCCGTGGGCGTGAAAGGGTTCTCCTACGATATCCCAGAGTGTGGATCGAACTACCACCCATTCCCTATTTTCTTCCGCTACCGATGGAAACTCCCCCGGAAACGAGGAAAGGATACTTTCCAACCGTGGCGTGAGGACAGAAATTTTCCGGGCAACGGCGAGTTTTCGAGGCGTTGCAGCTTCGAACGGATAAGCGAATTTAATTTTCCTACGGTTAGGAAAAAGGGCTCGAGTTTCGAATCCCTGTTTAATGGGTCGCGCGAGACCCGAGTATTGCGAAATAATTGGAATATCGAAGGGCAACAGGATTTAAGTAACGTTCTGCAAGCGAATTATAATAATTCTTGAAAATTAACCCTTTCGTTCCTAAATGATTTTTCTTTGCATTTCTGTCTATGCTACATTATTTGAACATTTTGAAAGCGTTTAGTGGCTTTTTTTCATTCGTTTCCATTTGATATCTTTTCTCACTTCTATCACAATTACGAAATAAATTATTGTTATTAATATTCGAAGTCATAGTAAATTATTATAATATACCAATAATAGTTGTCATTACAAGGCTACGTAATAGAATCCATTTTACTTACCTTTGATCGATGAACTCTCTTTAAATATTTCAAATAGATTAGAGTTTTATGAGTTCCTATTGTATGGCTAACAATGCTCAACACTTGAATTCCACCAGAAAAAACAAAACAAAGGAAAATAATGTGTTACTTTACTGGGAAAATACTGATATTTAATTTCGTAATTTAAAATAAGTAGCCTTTTGGCTACAGTAGGAACGAAAGGGTTAATAAAAGTCTCGTTAAACAATGACGGAGTCGCGACAAAATTGGTAGAATTTCACGAGAATCTCTTTAATCGCTCGTCTCCTTTTATCTTCGTTTTAGCGTTGACCGGCCTGCGGGGTGAAAAAAATCGCGCTTCGTCGGCGTTCGTTCCACTGAAAGGACGGAAAGACCTGCCAACTTTTTAATTTCCCCCATTTTTTGCATTGGGAATAATCACGGACTGTTCTTTAACTTCCGACGTTTCAGCAGGGTCGGAACGATTAATGTTGCCTGATAATTTTAACGATCGCAGGAATTACATTATCTTATCCTTTGTAAACAAAATTATCGCGATGTTTCGTTATTTAGAATTGCAATTTAACAGGAACGTGTCTGACCATATTGACCCATTTTCACTTACGATTTCTTTCTTTCATTTAGTCGACCGTCTGTTATAGGAATTTGATGGTTGCTATCTGAAACAATTGGAAATCTTACAAATTTAATCTTCAATGATTTCTCAAAGGATAAATCGCTATGAATCGAATTGGACCAATTGCTTGGGGCCTCGACCTTAATGAGCGCGACGATCCGATCGACGAACAGTCGCCAGGGTCCTTTGTTCTTCGTCGAAGCGACAGTTGCCGTTAAACGGCCCATTCACGGAAAAAATGATCGGCAGAAAATTGGGGGTAATCGTGGCCGATAACTCATTGCCATCGTCGCTTCTTAATCGATATACAGGGTGTTCGAAAAGAAAGGGTCTAAGACTTTAGATGCGTATAGTACTAATTGAAATGAGTAAAATAATGCCTAATCATAATTATGATCGATAACAGGTCCTGAAATCGATCCTTTTAATGAAAAATACAGAAGTTTGTTTTTACAATTTCAGTATAAAATTGTATTAAATGTTTTACACTCTACCATTCGTAGTATTACAATTAATTTTCTTATTCGATCAACTAAATTACTATGTTATCCATTTTCTACGACCTATTTACTGATTTACTAACTTACACCAGCGGATAATAGTTCGATAGATTTTAAAATATTCCTTCAATATTCCGTAGTTTAATGTAATAATAATTCGTAGTCTAATGTAACTTCTGAAACAATTATTCTCTTTACATTCAATATCCTGCGACGTGATCCATTTGCATCGAACGTTAGTAAATATAAAACTTGACTTTCCATTAAAAAGATTTATTTCATCACCTATACGTCGATTAAACATTTTTCACTCCACTTGGTGAACACTATAAGACCCCCAAAGTCTTAAATCCTTTATTTTTTCGAACACCCTGTGTATGTTCCGAATGCAATTCTTAAAAATCGCGGAGATCCGATTGAGTCCCAGGCCGTTCGCCGATAAATAAATCGGAACGTCGCGGTATTTATTTGATCCCGTTCGATTGTTTTCCTGGCAAAAACCATAAATAACGGGCCCACTCGGGACGAGTGATTACGGGGTTATCGATCGCGGAAGAAAAATGGGAAAAACGCGACACGTGAAGAGACCAGAGAAAATGATCGGTCTGGTTTTCCGTTTTATTATTCGCCGGCGACTCGACAAGATTGATTTTAATTACACAACTGCTCTATGCATTATAACGCAACTGGATCTGACGCGGATGGACGTAAGTTCAGCGAGAGATCGCGTAACAAAATCGACCTACCGTGGCTAGCAGTAGACGCTACTCGCAAGTAAATTCGAGCTGGTAATTGCGGGAGTATGTTGAAATCAGCGTTGCTTTGTAATTATTGCCGTGAACGCCATTCGAAGCCGTATTTAACATCTTAAACGTGACAGTTTTTTCTCTAGGGACAGTATCGTAATAAGACAGTACATTTGTTTAGGTGATTATTATTCACAATATAAAATTAGTAACAAAAGTAACTCTCGATTATCGTTCGTCTTGTTCTACACGATTATTGTCCAGGCGTTATCCCCACCACTGGGGGTTGGGCGTGGAATCTCTCAACGCGCATACTTTGTTGCCGAGGTTCAGGTAAAAAACGAATTTACGAACGTCTGAAGCATTTCTCCCTACTTGATTATTGTCCTGACCCGAGTTCGAGACAATAATCGAGAGGAGTCTGTATACAAATTAGAGAAAGAAGACTCTAAGGACCTAAGAAGATCCCTTGTCAAATTCCAATGGTCCTCACGGTCAGTTCGAAAGAAATACAAACCTAATTCTGTGTCCTAACATTCCCTTTCTCTCCCACCCAGCTTCTGCCGCAAGAAACACGCTATTCGATTCCGTTTCAGAGTCCACTTACCTCTCGTTGCCGCTGGGTCCGTGGGGGATTTGCATACTCGGGGGTTCCAGTAACGCGTGGCTCCGCCGGCGTGCTCATGCATATGCATTAGCATACATTTCTCCGTGTATAATCACGCTTCCTTTCCTATCGTTCCGTGAACGGTGGCCCAGACAATTTTGACAACGTATTTACACCCGCGAGACCGTCGCCGTCGTCGTCGTTTTTCGGGAAATTTCTAACATCTGTTCTTCTACTTTGAGGTGAACTAACAAGGGAAGGCACGGAAATGTCTCTCCCGATTTTTATGAAACTTCGTATGTCTGTTAACCAGTCAAAAATACGGGATACGTATTTTTTTTTATCAGCTGAAACGCGACTTTAAGGGGTGGAACCACCCCTCGAAGTTTCGACCCGAAAGTACTATCTCGAAAACCAGAGGAGATACATGAAAACTTCTAATGGACGAGGTTTTCGTTTTTTTTTTTTATGTAGAATAATATGGTACTAATAAATTGTCCAAAATATAATTTGTTTATAACAAAAAAATTTCGGATCGAAACTTTGGATGGACAGTTTTTATCCCACCTAACCCTAAAGAGTTAAAGTTGCGTTTCAACCGATAAAAAAAAATACGTATCCCTTATTTTTGACTGCTTAACAGACATACGAAGTTTCATCAAAATCGGAGGGGGACACTTTCGTGCCTTTTCTGGTAAGATCGTGTAAATCTCAACAAAACTTGTCTCGAGTGTTTTTTAGTCGAGTCTCTTCACGGACCTTTTAACCGCTGGAAGACTCGATGGAAGCTGTATAGAGAATTCACGAGACGATCAGAGTTTCGGACCGAAGATAAACAGGGAAATGGCGGGAGGCAGTTTAGTATCGAGTTTCGAAGTCGTAGACGCGTTGGTCGATCGCCTCCCCTCCTCACATCCCGAGTGAATCACCGCCTCGACCAGAGGGCTAATTAATCGGTTAATTAGTCGACTGTTAGCTTGGGAGAGTTGAGCGGGAATCGAGGTCGATTAAGAATTCTCCGGAAGAGAGAGAATTTGAGAGGCGTTTCACCTCTTTGAACTTCTAATTCTTTTTCAATTTTCTGTCCAATAAGTCTCTGCTATTTTACATGTTTTACTTGAAATATATTTCAAAAAACAGTTGGTTGATAGGAATCAATTTAAACAAATTGTTTTAATAATTATATTGACTGGAACTTTTGCTGAGATACATTTCTGGAATTTCTAAATAGTTTTCACTGGAAAATCAGGTAATTTTAGTAGATAAAGAGGAACCAAATACAATTTGATTGTACCTTTTTTTTTTTTAGATTTTATAGTCTAGAAGAGTTTGCATAATACATCTAAAGACATCGGGAGGGGACGGTCGAATTTGGAATTGTTTATCTAGTTGAAAAAATATTGTTAAATATAATACATATTTAAACTAGCAATTTAAAAGTGTTGATTGTACCTGTGAACGAAGTTGATGTCGAATCACACTTGACAAAAAACTTCCAAGAAGGTTAAATGGGCTGCGATTAGATCAAAGGTGGTTGAAACAATGCAAGGCTTTACGATAAAATTCTTTTCGCTTGCAGGGGGAATATTTTTTTACAAGTAATTAGGGGACGATTGTACTTTCACGATTTAACTTTAGTCGACCGTGTAGTTAGTTTCTATCTGTATTAGATCGTCGGCTGGTCCGCGACCTTTCACGAAGT